CAGAATGCACTCATGGCTATTGTCCAAGTGTGTTCGAATGTTTACTCCGTGCGATGTGGTTGTGTGTATTCTAGTATAACAGTACTCGTCATCTCCACAGAGAGCATGCACATTGGCCTGGTATACAAATCAACGCACAAGGCCGCGAAAGCTTTAGTCCTCTTCAGCCCTGTTTGGACAGACCCAAGACCCGTCGACCCAACGCCTCCACCTCGCGTTGTACGACGGCGGTGACCGCACTCCTCACCTTCGCAATCTCGTCCGCAAGAACCGGATCGCCGATATCCCGATGTTCAGGGACGTCCTGCATCGCGTGCGACACCGGTCTGCCCAACCATCCCTGCTCTGCGACCGCACCGCTGAGCCCCTCTTCTTCGGCTCTCGAGGGATCGGTGAGGCCCCCATGGGAGACATGGGGAACCTCTGGCAATCGCCGTTCTAGTACAGCCGCGTCCAGGGCGTCTTGGATATCGTGTATCGGAACGGGCTCGCCGAATGTTATACTGAGCGCCGCTCCGCGTTTGGGGAGGAACTTGTAAGGAAAGGGACGCCCTTCTGGCATGAGGTTGTCGAAGCCTAGCGAACATGGCGGTTATGACATGCATCAGGACGTTGGCCGCCCGAGAGGGGAGGTGTACGTACCAGTCAGCCACATTGGGATGATTATTGGCGGCTTTTGCACTTCCATGATTATCCGACCTCTGAGAAGTGCGCGAACGTATGAGCCATTAGCCATCGGAAGGCCAGCGTGACGGCGCTCACATTCCCCACTTGAATCGCAGTAGACGAGCGGCACTTGGACTCTCAGAGTCGCAGGACGCTTGGTTCACCTTTCCCTCAGAGAACAGATGTATCTGTGCACCACGTAAGGCGATTAGGGTTCCGACGGGTTCGCGTTTAGTGCTTCGAACGCACCCAGTCTCCCCGATTGAGCTTCTCGACTGCGGTGTCGATGGCAGGCTGGAATATTCCCTTGCCGCGGAAAGTCTCGATGACCTGGCCGTAGCGGAAAAACGTGGAAAAGACACTATCTGGCAAAGGGAGACGAAGCGCTGGGTGTTCAGCACTTCTGTCGCTATCACGCACTATAGCACGCACGGATTTGTGAACATGATGTCCGAGGCCCCAAGCGTCCACCTTGTCAATCGCGAATGGCGGTAGAATTTTGTCGGAAGTACACCCCATGCAACTGGGTCATCTAGTCTATTTGCCAGCTCAGACGCGCGCCGTTGCATTTCTCCACAGGAGGGGGTGCTCACGTAGATATGTGATTTGACACTGCACGAAGAAGTGGGTCAGGCACATATAGCGCAACAGGCGGCATGTACGCACAGGTGACGATTCCGCGTCCGTTGTTGCGCTCGTCGCCCTCCAGGGCGTTCACGAGGTTCTCCATACCGCGTACGGTCACCGAAGAGCAGAACCCGCCGTGCATGAGTGCTTTGCTGCCGAGCCCGACGATGCTCACGGTGAGTCTGGAGAGAAGGCCCGTCATGGGATCTTGGAGCCGGCCCTAGGGCGAACGACGCGCAGTATCCCAGGCGCAGCAGACGCAGCAGCTGGCAAGCGGAGCTCTACGAGACTGACAAGTCTGAAGACGTGGTCGAGATGAAAGTGTAGCAGCAGCACGAGAAATCCGCCGCGGCGCAGTCTGCTAGCACTTGCGAACTCGGACTCGGAAGCGCGCACCACACCGACGCGTGCGCCGTCGGATCTGCTCGTCGTCTTTGCCTCTGCCCACCACCCGCTCTTCGCCGACTTCTCGACGCCGGTTCACCAACGTCCACGTTGCTGACCGAACGACTACGACCGTCTCTTCCGCTGCCAGCAGGCTCCGTGGATTACCGCCGAGTAGACGCGAGGCGCGCGTTTTTCCAGCAGTAGCGGTAGACGGACGGACAACAACTTCTTCACCGGGGTCTCTGGCATTTGGGAAGAGGCAAGTCTCTTCCATACATCGTATGAATGAGCATTCCAATTGACAGAGGCCACGTAAACAGTCGATTCAAACGTTTGACTGGCAGTCATGCAACCATTCAGACGGGTTGGAGCCGCCCTCGTCGCCGCGGTGGGGCGATTAGACAAGTCCCTTTCGCCCAGCGACACCCTCAACCGCCTCCGACAACACAAATGGACCCTATCAGACTCTATCTACATTTTCCAGTTCACACTCGCTACCTTCTGGCTCTTCGTCATGCAGGTTCCGGTCTTCATCAAACTCATGATACCCGTACTCTACGCCACCGCACTCCTCATACCCTTCACGTCACAGTTCTTCCTCCCCGCGGGCCCGATATTCCTGTACCTGCTCAGCTTCTTCTCGTCAAAGGACATCCCTATGCACTACCGCCCGACCCCCTCCGTCGTCCTCCTGCCGACGCTCGAGTCTGTGCTATACGGGGCGAACGTTTCTGATATCCTGACACGTTTCACGCACCCCATCCTCGATCTCTTGGCATGGGCCCCATATGGTGTAGGGCACTACGTCATCCCCTTCGTCGTGGCCGCATTCCTTTGGCTCTTCCGACCCAAGGAAGTTCTGCATTATTGGGCTAGTGCGTTCGGGTACATGAACCTCACGGGCGTGTTGATCCAACTCGTCTTTCCCTGCGCTGCGCCATGGTACGAGCTCATCTACGGCCTCACCCCCGCGGACTACACCATCCGCGGCTCGCCCGGCGGCCTGGCCCGGATCGACAAGCTCTTCCACGGGAATGGCTACACGACCGCGTTCTCCAACTCCCCGCTCGTCTTCGGCGCGTTCCCCTCGCTGCACGCCGGGTCTGCGACGATGGAGGCCCTCTTCATCTCGCACTTCTTCCCCTGGACGACGAAATACGTGTTCGGCTACGCGGCGGTGCTCTACTGGGCGACGATGTACCTCACGCACCACTACCTCGTCGACGTCGTCGGTGGCTCGTGCCTCGCCGTCGCGTTCTTCTACTTGCTCATGCCCGAGGAGCTCAGGGGCGCGGCGGCGACCGCGCCCCCCGGCGGACTTGGCGCGGCGGCGTACCGGAGCAAGTACGAGGTGTACGACCTCGACGAGCCGCGCGGGCGGGGCGGGCGCGGGTCTGCGCTCATGCGCGACGCGGAGGCGTACGACCTCGAGGAGCTCTCCGACCGCGAGTCGGACGAGGAGATGGACATCACGTTCCGCTCGCCGGTGGTGCCGGACGGGCCGGCGTCCGCGGTGCCGCTCATCAAGTCTGCGGCGGCGGGGGGGCGCGCGTCCCCGGTGAAGAAGAGCCACCGGCATACGGCGAGCATCGCGAGCCTCATACGCTCCGAGGAGCGGGGCGAGGAGGGGTGGAGTCCGATTGGGGGCTCGTTTGCGTTCCCGCCGACGCCGACGCGCGCGCAGGCGGCGCAGGTTGCGGAGGAGGGCAAGGGGGCGCGGGGTTCGTAGGACGATGGGGCGTGGGGGGCGGGGTGACCTGTACATTCGTTTGGCTAATACATCTCTAGTTCAATCTACGGGGGTTTATTGTGTTGTATTTATGCTCGTCGCCCCTCCCCCCCCCTCCTCGTTGTCTGATCTCGGCTGTCGAACAGTCAACTTCGCTACCTTCTCTGCGCAATCATTGGCCTCATCTACTACTAGTACATAAATACTCTACCAAGTCATACTTCATGTCGGTTTGCGCCGCCATCGACGCTGCTCTGCTACCACGCACATGAGGTGTATTTGTCTCGAGCCTGCGAGCCTGTCGTATGTTAGGGCACAAGTAACCACAAGCACGCGCGCTGAAACACGTGCAAAGTCATGACACCTGCAATTCGTATTGACCCCTCAGATCCTGCTCCCCATCTCCGCACTGACTCAGCCGGAGCCTGTCCGAGTCGAGAGTGACATAGCGATCTAACAGAGTCACGGTAACTGATCCTTTAAGAAGGAACGTGGCGGTACGCTCGCCCCCCCTCTCAGGTTCTTGTTGAGGCGGCCCCTGAACATCCTCTCCAGCTCTGACCGCACTATCCAGGCAGCCGTCATGAAGCTCTCGGCGGCGTTTGGTCTGCTCACGGACCTCCGTTTCGCCATCCAGGCTGCCTTTTTCCCGACCGTCTCGGCCATATTCCGCACCCCGACCCTTCTCTTCCGCCCGCGCGACGTCTCGCGCCTCTTCATGGCGCACGTGTGGAAGACGTTTGGGGACGGCGTCGACGAAAACGCACGGCCGGTAAAGCAGGCGCTGATCCCCGGCAACGCCTACGGCGTCGTTCTCGACATCGGGGCAGGTGCGCCGCCCTCCCGCCCCTCGTGTGCAGCACCGCACGCACATTGACATACTTGCCATTTTCCCCCCAAAGGTCACGGCCACACCGTGGGCTACCTCGACCCCGCCAGGGTGACGAAATACGTCGCGCTCGAGCCCAACACGCTCATGCACGCGGAGATCCGGAGGCGCGCGGCGACGAGAGGCTACACCGAAGAGGCCGGCACGCTGCTCGTCCTGCCCTACGGGGCGGAAGAGCCCGGGCTGATCGCGTCCGCGCTCGGCGGTGCGCACGCGGCGGACACGCTCGTCGCGGTGCTCACGCTCTGCTCGATCCCGGACGCCGAGCGCGTGTTCGCGGCGCTCGTGCGGGCGACGCTGCGCCCGGGAGGCACGCTCCTGGTGTACGAGCACGTCCTGAGCGCGCGGGCGGACGTCGCGTGGTGGCAGCGGTTCTGGACGCCGCTGTGGAGCCGGGCGTTTGACGGGTGTTGTCTGGACCGTCCGACGCACCTGTGGATCGAGCGCATGGGGCTGTGGGCAGAGGCCCGTGTGTGGGGCAAGGAGGGCGAGGAGGAGGAGCATTTGTTCTGGCACCAGGTCGGCCGCTTCGTCAGGAAGGCGGAATGATTCCTGGGTGCGGATTTGGGGCGGAGCTTGGATCTGGTAGGGTTAACGTTACCTGCGCAGCGTTTTGTTAGGTGATATACATGAATTCTGGAATACCGTATGTTCTAGACATAGTATCCCTTGGATGGCCTGTATGTAGAGGACCAAAAATAATGCTCGGAATGAGGATCGAACTCATGACCTCAGGATTACCCACCGCAAGGGCGGTCATACAGCAAGTATGAGACCTGCGCTCTAACCAACTGAGCCATCCAAGCATGCCACTCCTCGTACATTGGTGCACCATCATAACGTGACAGACCAAACTGAGTACGAGCGCTTAACCCCGCATATCGCACTCCGATTACGTCGGAAACATGCTTGATTTTGAACTGCATCACCGGCTCACCTGCTCTGTTCGTCCCCCGCGCTCCAGCCCCCAATCACTCCACCACGCTGCCACGACGGTGCTCCCACGACAACATACCGACCGACGCCCCCACAATGGCCCACTTCCCCTGGGGCGCTCTGAACACCAAGACGATCCGCACGGTGGTGCACGAGCTTGGGCTCGCGCGGTACGTCGGGCGCGTGCACCGCAAGAGGCTGGAGGATCTCATGAAGGACATCGAGCGCGACGGCCGTGGGTCTTTCCCCCTTTCTATGCGCCCTGCCCCCGCCACGAGTCGTGCTGATTGTGTTTTATGGGGGGGTCGCTGTTTGACGCTGTGCATCGGCAACGGCGTAGTGGACGCGGTCTTGCAGCGCCTGCAGGAGCGCGCGGAGCACAGGGCGAGCCCGGTGCTGGAGTACGCGGGGCCGCCGCTCGGCGCGACGGCGATGCGCATGGACGTTGACGTGGAAGTGTACCCCGTTGTGGAGATCCCGTCGCGCGCTGGCCCGAGTCGTGCCCGGCGCGGACGCGTCCCGTCCCGCACCCGTCCGGGCTCGTCCGTCTCGGCACGCGGGGGGAGGGTTCGCTGCGATGAAGTGGACGACGAACTCGAAGACGACGTCGGGGAAGACGCGGTCCCCGAGCCGGCCGAGGAGGAGAAGATTGAGAAGGAGAAGAAGAAGAAGAAGAAGGGACGGCTGCCGCCGCCGAGCTACGCGGTGCTGTACCAGCTCGAGCAGGAGATCAGCGAGCCGTCGCTGGAGCCCATCCCGCTCTTGCGCCCGGACCAGCGCTTTGATGGGGTCGTGCTCACGGCGTCTCCCCGTAGACTTGTGCGCTCGCGGGCACGCCGGGTGGGAGAGGAGGACGAGGAGGAGGAGGAGGGCGACGACGAAGAGGGGAGGAGGTGGGCACGGAAGCTTGGTGCACCGGCTGCATGGGGGTCGGGCAGGGACGGTGGGTTGGGGAGCGCGTCTGCTCGTACTGCGCCCATGCGACTGGAAGCGGTGGAGTTGACTAGCTCAGCGCGGCGACGCAGTTAGATGGCACTGGGATTGTGTGTGATTTTACACGCCGTGCCTCCATTTTGGTAGTCGTTGGAGACCGGCAGCGGTGTTGTAGAGCCAGAGCAGGGCTCTGTAGTGTCGCGGGTACTGAACGTTGAACAGTGTCATGAAGCGCACTGGACAGCCTGTGACGTTGATGTTGTGCTGAATGCACTGTGACGACATGTCAAATATATACCAGGATCTTGCAACACTTGGGTATGGCTGCGACATGCGAGATATATGTGAACACGTAGAACGAGCGTGGTCGAGCTGCACGGCAGCAATCGCAATCAATAATGATATAAAGGACAGCCCATCTGAGCAGTACATACAGCATCAACTACACGACGAGCACCACACAACCGACGCAGAGAGCCTAAACGACTCCGCTCGCCCGCCCATGTGGCGAGCAGCACCGAGGCACCGGTGGGTAACTCAGGTACAGTACATCTCGGGGCACCTACAACCCTAATGGAGGGCACACCGTCCAAGACCCAGCACGACTCAGTCCGCGAACCCGAGCCCGGCCTCTGCTGCGTTGTAAGACAAGCCCTCCGCGCCGTGGTGCTTCAAATTCACGCTGGCACCCCTCTCCGCGTCGTCGTCCGCGTCCGCGTCCGCGCCGCCGGAGCCCTTGCGCGAGCCGGGCCACGCGTCGACGTCGACGGTGACCGCCTGCGTGCGGGTGACGGTCACGCCGGAGCGGGGGAGCGTCGTGGAGTGGGAGGGGCGGTACGCGCTGAGGGAGATCGTGCCCGCGTCGAAGCCGGACATTATCTTTTCGGAGAGGGATTGGCGCGAGTTGAGCCTGGGGAGGAGGAAGGGGTCAGTGGGTCCGGTGGGCGGGAAGAAGAGGGGAATGGGGGGGGACGTACATGGCTAGTACGGAATTTGAGTACACTGTTCGAGGAAGGGCGTCAGTGTCCAGGAACGAGATGACCCGGCGTGCGCGACCGGAGAAAGAAAGAGAGAGAGAGGAAACATACGCTTGACTCCGGGGATGCTTATGCCGGCGTAGATGAGGTTGTCGGGGTACACGAGTCCCTGATCAGTGTGGGGTCAGTCAGTCATCTTTGTGTCTGGTGCGGGAGACAGTGATACAGTGAACGGCACTCACGAAAATGAAGATGAGGAAGCCCACAATACTAAAGTCAATATACGGTCAGCATCCCATGGGCGCGGGTATCCCATCAAGTAAGCTCACGTCGTCAGCAATCCTACACGAAGAGGGGGGTCAGTACTGTGTCCTTCCTGCGCCAACGATGCAGCAAGCGGCGACGCACCAGTGTTGATCGTGTAGATAATCAGAGTATCCAGAACCGAGTCCGTCCTACGAAGACCACGCGTGAGCACACCACCCCCCTTTGCTTAAGCGACAGAAGGGCAGACGCACTTCTTGATCCCCGTGCGGTTGCGGTGCAAGACGAAGATGAGGGCGCCAGCGAGAATGATGTCGCACAACACAGCGTGGCCGTACCCAACCGAGATAATCCACTATGTGCAGGGAAAGAGGGCGGGGTATACGTCAGTCAGAGTCTCGCAGTATGGCTCGCAGGGGGAGAAACGGACGGTTGAGCGGGAAAATTCCACTGTTGTCGTAGACTGGAAGCTATATGGGTGAAGGCGGGGGTCAACTGCGCCGTTGCCTTCATGGAGCAACGAATCACGAACACTTTCACGGTAGCGGCTGTGACAGAGAAGCAGGTGGTAAACAGCGTTGACACATTGAAGGCCGTGATAGGGGGTACGTACCCGCGATCCATCCTGAGGTAGCGTAGATGTGGATGAGTGAGCTAACAGATTACCGCTACACAGCATCGGGTAGACAAACCTAAGAACATCAACATAACGAGGAGCTGCGTTCGCCGGAGGCGTGAGCGAGAGCTGTGAGTAGAGTTGAACGAGGCAGCTTACAGCGAGAAGCACGACGACTCTATACTGCCACTGCGGGCCGACTGATGCGTTGCAGGCCCTTTATTAGTTGGGAGAAGTTCGAAGACCAAAAGACGCACAGTAATACACGCGCGCAGCGTAAAAGCTTTGGGGTATCGTAAGTGACGTCATCATGAGGGCACGGGTAGCTGGCACTTACATTTGGCAGAACATGATAGCGATAGCCTAGTCATATAGCAAGAGGTAGATGGTGAGTGGCCCGCGATACATCAGATAGGTAGCACTCACAGTGAACGGGACCGTGATCTTTTGCACCATTTGTTAGCTATTGGACGTCTGCCTGGAGACGGCATATCGAACACACCTTTATGTACCTTTGAATCCGAGAGATATTAATTAGCGACATGTGGAAGACCTTAAAGGATACTTACCAGTGCGTCTTGGTGGCGTTCAATGGGTTGAAGTAGTTGACGATGAGATACTCGTAACTGATGCACATTAGTGTAATGAGTCGCGTGTGACACAGGAAGGATGCTTGTGCAGCGTACCAGGCTATGATCCACATAATTGTGTGGAACGTTTCCGTAATGCTAGAAAGGCATAGATATAACGCTGACAACCCAACAGATCTTTTGGTGTACTTACACAATGGCCATCACCTGGACGAATGGCCGAACATTCTCGTCAGTCAACGAGCATTACAGGCAGCCAAGCGTCGACCCTTACCAGTCCCTTGAGAACGAGGCGGTCCTTGGGATATAAGCGATAGTATCTGTACGCCTGGTGCATCATCAAGCCGTACAACCTATAAGAGACACCCGGTCAGACTGCTTCAGCAGTTTAGATGGATGACAAAAGCGCACATGAACCCGAAGCAGGACCCGAGAAGGAGAGCCCCAAGGGTGTTGTCGAGCGACGGGAATTGCGGGAGCGCCGCAGAAGGGTCCATGGCGGCAGATGGGTCCATTGTCGGTGGCGGAAGTTGGAAGTATGCACAGAGAAGGCAGAACGAGGGTAGGGAGTGTCGACGGTGAGAGCCCTCGCGGGAGACATGTCCGCCTGGAGTGTCGTACTTTATGCACTGACCCGGTCAGCACGGTGATCTTGCATGATCCTCGGCGCGGGCGCGACTAGGCGAATGCCATGCCACACCTGTCAGATCACAGTCCGGAGAAGGTGTTCGCCAGGAAAGAAACAAAGGACCGATGCACCGCAAATCACGCGCGGTCGGATTGATAGATCATCTCGGGCTGGCCCTACCGAGGGGCGTGGAGGATTGGGAGCCTGGTTGATGTTCGTGTGAATAGCTGGCGTAATGGATCGACGCATCCACTTGACTCGCGAGTTAACTGTGCGCGTTGCTAGTATAGAACGGCCCCGCCAGCGTACTAGACATAATGAAAAGGTCAATAGGGGCGCGCAATGCGTATCGCTGTAACGTAAAACATCCACTCACGACAAATTGACCTCGTGCGCTCAGCGCCCACGGGGCGAATCCCGACCGGTCTGGGATCAGGGCGTCGGCGGCGTGTGTACACTGCGCATTTGGGCGTTCAAGGTGATGAGGTACATCATGCGTTTCCGGCGCCCTGTAGAAATCCTAACCGGCAATGAAGCCCGCGTCTGGGAGGAAAGACATTGTCGCCATCTATACCACAACATCGATGTTGTTCCTGACTTCCAGTATGAGGTTCAAAGTTGGCGCCCTTCCAGTAACAACTGCAATGAGGTATTTAGACGTAGTAAATTATAGTCTCCTTCAGGCAAAATATGCACATGGGCTACGTATATAAGGGATGACGCTCACGTAGGATGATTGGTGTGTAGAAAGACTTACCTGCACGAGATGCATTGTGGTTTGGCGAGACAGACCACATCAGAACAAATGATGACAGCTCGTGATGTTTAGTTCATGAAACTGAAAAAAAAAAATCAATGGCTG